GGTTTGAAAAACAACAAACCAAACAATATTCGTTCTTTGTGTATGCAATTCGATAAGGGATATGGCACCTTCAATTCCTTAAAGGCACTTATATGCCATTCATCTTACTTTGTAAAGAAATGACCAGAAAATTTCTGTTTTGTCCTAATTTTACAAAATGCAGCTTTAAATTACAAGAGTCTGTTGATCATGACTGTTTCGTATTTTGTCAACGTGGTTTTAATATATATATATATATATATATATATATTATGCTTTAGTCGTATTTCTTATGACGAGAGCTCTTCGTTCGTTCCTTTATTTTTTATTATTAATATCTTAAGTTTGTAACTTTCAACAAATTTCATGTCGCATGTTGGACAATTGATTGAATTAAACTAAACTGAGGAATTTCAGTCATTGAATTTTTCCTGATTCCTGCAGATATCCCAGCACGGATGCCCGGCACCAAACAATCGAAAGGCGGTCTAAGAGTCAGTCTGCCACCGCTTCCAAGAAAGGAGAACATCTACAGTGTCGACCCAACTGAGTGGAAGAACCGTTCACATGCGGCTTCCGGTCGTCCATATCCATCGGAGGACTTCGCCAGTAAATTCCCTTCGCCTAGTCTAAAGTGTTACCCTGGTAGCAGCTATTCCATGAGCCCTAACCCGAAAGCGCTTTCACGACATAACCAGCCGTTTGACAAAGGTCGCAGGTCAAGCCTTGTGAGCCAAGCTTCAGGAAAGTTCTCCACCCGAAGTGATGTTTCGACTGTGTATGAAGACATAAGTGACTTTGGAAGTACATATAGCTTTGCGACACCCACAAAAGTTGTAAGAGAGAACTATAGGGGTCCCTGTGGTGGTTATTCTGTAAACTTTGGAAATACCAGCTCAAAAAAGAGCAAGAAATAGTCATGCCTATACAAGTAACGGATTTATCAACCAAGGATTGAGGCGTTCAAAAACTCAAAATATAGTCTCTCCGGTAAAGACTCTGACCTACTCGAGTCTGTACGACAGACTTTTACAATTAAACATCCCATTCTTAGATATTAACAACCTATCCGATAATGCTATTGTGTATCTGCTACTTAATGGATCACCTTTACTTTCATCTAAAGTCAACTCTCAGGTACTCATTATTACACAGCTATATCTCTCTGAAACTAAGCGATTTAACAACTAATTTATGATTCTGTATTCATTTATAATATCTTAATAGCTAAACTCTGTACTCTTGTTACCTGGACGATACCCATGTTTTGTGATGTAATTTTATGTCTAGTGGTGACGTGAGTATAAGCTTGAGTTTGTCACCACTGTGTATTGTATTTTTGCATGTTGAAATAAAAAAAAAATATCTACAGAATTTAGCTTGGCGTTTTTGTCCGTTTTAGTTCGTTTCCTGCAGCATAGCTGGTTTAGGTTCACCGCCATTCTCAGTTGATAACGTGGGGTCAGTCCACAGTGTGGGGAAGTAGCCTAGCCATGTCCAGAACAAGTAGTCCTCAAAACTCGACCCGACCAAGTAGCGATGGGCGGGGTTGGTCAGGGTAACAGCGTCCACCATAGCCTGTAAATAGAAATGACAGCTTTTTCTTTGCATGCGTGTGTATGTGTGTGTGTGTTTGTGTGTTTGGTGTGATTGTGTGCGTGTTTGTATGTATTTGCGTGTGTATGTGTGTGCGTGTTTGTGTGTTTGTATGTGTATGTGTATGTGAATGTGTGTGTGTGTTTGTTTGTGTGCGTGTTTGTATGTGTTTGTGTGTTTGTGTGCGTGTCTGTGTACGCACGCTGTATCGTGTGCACATGCCAAGTGCCTCCAACTCATAATCATTTTCAAATTGATTTTAAACTATTCAATAAACACTAAAAATGATTTCCTCTACAACTTGCAATTGTATCATTCCATAAAAGTTAAAAAAAAAACAACTTATCATTTGAACACAATCCAATACTTCAATACTGCCCTATATACACCTACCAGCGCTTAGTCCTTTTTGGCAAGCTTTCAAGCATACTTGGTAATATTGTTGATTTAAACACCCTTTCTGACAATTCTATACAGCATTTAGTTCTTCGCGGTAGTTTCCTTTATTCGTATGATATCAACTGCAAAAAATGTTAGCCGCACAAATTCATATAACAGAAACAAAACGATTCTAACTGTATGTGTCTTCTGGGATGGGAGGTTTGTTACTCACGCGAGGTCTCATGTATTTTCAAATGTCTTGTAAAATATTTTTCTTCCATTGTAAAAGTGGCTGCGAGAATATATGAGTTGTACCTAACTTGAGTTCGTAGTCACTTAGTCCATGTCTTTTCATTTGTAAACATCATTGTGTTTCTGAATAAAAAAGAAATAAAAAAAACAACATACGTCTATGACAGCCGTAGGATCCTTCTCTTCATTTTCGCTTTCAACTCTCAACTGTTCCATCTTGAAGTCAAAGTACTCCATGCCATAATCCTTCTTTACGGCCTCTTCCATGTTGGTCCGTAAGTCCTGTGCAACAAATGAAGACAACCGCTAAATAATTTCATCATATCCTCCAACCTTGTAGATATCCACTAGGAAAAGTACAATTTTTGGCGACGTCTCAGGGAGGAGCCTAATGGTACAGTATTGTGCTCAGTTTGCAAGAATTCTAGGAATGGTACAGGCATATTGTCCACAGGCATGGAGTGTCCACAGGCATGTCTCTGACCCACAGCTATGCCAACATTCCTGAAAACCCTTGGGAAGACCTCTCTGCCCCAGATGGTTCTACTTTCCAGCCCCGGGGCTTGTTCACTATGCACTCAGGGGGAGTGCACTGTATCTGTCTAGACTTAACAGGTACCAAGTCTTCCTCAAAATCATGAAATGATGGCAGTGCCATGCAAATAATAACCCTAACAGCAACCACCGTCGCCATGGCAATTTATGTTTTCATTGCCAGTGTTGTTGAATATTTCAAACGAAGTGGAGATACCATACCTCAGTGTGTTTATTGAAGACCTCGGGCAACACGATATCTGTAGATGGCGCGAAGTTTCCAGGCTCCACGATGACAACTTTGACACCCCATTTATGCATCTCATGCCTGGGTTTCCATTGGCAACCATCAGAGAATGAAAAGATGAAGATGGCAAATGAAGGTATACGGTACTACAGACATGGCTTGTGGTAGCTTGGGTGCCAGACCCATAGCACACTGGACGCAAAGTATCTCAGTACTTTGTGTCCAGTGTGCTATGAGTCTGGCATTCAGGCTAGTCATGGACAAACAACAACTACTTAAATGTCTGGGTAACTGAAAACGTGCAAAGTTGACTGGTACTCGTACTGTATAGTGCGATCAGCTACTTGGTTGGTCTAATCATAAATTGGTTGGACCAATCAGAAGGCTCCATTCCATATTCCTTATGACGCCGTAATGTCACAAATAGAGTCAAAACCGGGTAAAAGCTACGCTGCACTCACTCGGTGGCTTTATTCGGTGGTTATTGCAACTGACAAGGCTTTATCACACCATATTCACCTCGGGGCGGGTCATTAACGCTTAATTACAAGTCGTGTATTCGTAAGTCAAGACAAGAGTTAGTCGTGACCTAGACAAAGGAAAAAGCTGGCAATAAGTCGTATGATCTTCTTTTAACGTCCCTTTCCATTTGGATTGGAGTAAATGTTTATGGTCAACTTGAACAGGAATCCTCTTGTTTACGCAAGATCTTACTCTCCAAGCAGAGGTTGTGTACCATCATTACCTTTTTATATGAGTCCGTTTTTTGTTAGTGGCTGGCGACCTTCTCTGGCTAATGGATACTGCCTGGCCAATTTGATACTGTCTTTTTGCCACCGAAAGGGATCTGCTTGGAGATTAGCAAGATCTGGCATCTCATGACTAGTCACCTCACCTACCTCAGGGCATCGGAGAAAAATTCCACAGCCGCTTTCGTCATGCAGTAGGCGGCAGCAGCGGGCGTGGCGTGAAGTCCCGCCGCACTCGTCACATTCACCACCCGTCCTAATGCACAGATACATACTCCATTCAAAGCCAGGTTCCAAGAACATACACGGCCTAGCTCTGCCAGTTCAGAGGTGTCTCAACACATCCACATAGAGTCACCCGGACAATTTGTTTCACTTGACACTGTAAGGATTTTGGACACTGAACAAGACTATTACTTGAGAGGAAGGAAGCCATATACATCAGGGCCCATCACCCTTCATTGAACCGCGACGGGGGCCGACATCGTTTACTATATACCTTTGACCCAGTGTTGACGTCACACTTCAAAGAAGCCACGTGACAAGCTTCACTGGGTCAGTCTACTGAGGAAGACCAGAGTGACTGGTCGAAAGCTCTAGGTGAGAGGATTTTTTTGTGTTGGACCAAAAGTTTTAACTTTAAACATGTCAGCAGTGATCTTACCGACTTGCCCAAAATGGTCTTCTTTTGTTAATTGAACACACACACGAGGACTACTTTTGTCAATTATAAGATATTTGCTACAAAAAAAAAAGCTAGAAAAAGCTAATTAGAACAATCCCCCACCTTTCGCCTTACGAATAAGAGGTAAGAACGCCTTGGTGACCCGCACGGCACCGAAGGTGTTCACTTCCATCACACGTCGGTAGGCGGCGATGCTGACCCACTCTATCTCTCCCGGCTGCCAGACTCCAGCATTGTTCACTAGTGCGTAGAGACCTGTTGAGACAAAAAAAATTCTTACGATTCATGCCATACTCATAAAAGACACCGGAAAAGACCATCTCTTTATGTTTAAATTGTTTTATGTAGAAATTGACGAAAGGTCACGATTGTGGTCACCTTCAGACTCCGTGGGTAAATTGTCTTTGACCTGTTGTACAGCGGCCTTCACCTGTCCATCATCAGTCACGTCTATCTGAACAGTACTCAGCCTGCTCGAGCACTCCGCCCGGAGTTTCTTCGCCCCCTCCCCACCACTGTCTGCCAGCAGACAGCCGGCAAACACCGTGAAGCCCAGCGAGTCCAGGCGTTTGGCAAGTCTAAATCCAAAACCACTGTCACAGCCTGTTGTTAGAAAGTCAAACATTCAAATAGGTCAATGGTAATGGCTTTACCTTTCATTGCTTACCAGCTACACTTTCAAGAAAAGATTTGAAAATTTGCTTGAGCTGACCTGTAACACACGCTCATACATATACGTGTCTGCTGCTCTCACCAGAAACATTTTGTAAATAGGTTTACTTGATATCAGAATTAAAATTTGTATTTTATCATATATCATGAATTTTATACTTGGATTTTAAAGGCGGGTCTGTAAGCAATGACGCAATTCAGGTATTGATTTTATATTGTACCTGCTATGTCATTGGTAATGAAATATGAAAAAAAATCTGAATCTGAAGGGCGTACATGCTCATGACTGCAGGTGTTGGAATCAAAGCCCTACCTGTAATGAAGACAGCTTTGCCTTTCCCGTTCACCCGGCTCTTCGGCGCCAAGTACAGAACCAGACAGTATCCCACTGAACCCAGCAGTATCCCCGTACACAGGTAGTACAGGACAGGTACACAGTGGTACAACAACAACAACAAGCCTGAAATAGCGGATAAACCAATCAAGCTTGCACAGTAGAACAACTGCAGTGGCTTTAACATTGTTAGTGATCTTAAACCCGTGCTTTTGCCAGATTTAACCAGATCTAAAGCGATGTTCAAAGTTCGTTGGACGACATTCTCGCGAGGACACGGGCCAAAGTTCAAAATTCAGACGCAGCGCAGCACAGATAGCCTGGGTTCCATCCTGGTTAGTTTACGTCCGCTCCCATGTTGGTGGTAGCGACTGTGGGAGCGGACGTAAACTAACCAGGATGGAACCCAGGATACAGGCACGGTGCTACAGGACAGATTTCTGACTTTAAAAAATGGAATACATCACGCGATTAAAACTGAGACTTACTATGACAGAGGGCTTTTTTATGCCTCTCTCTGATGTGACAGAAACATAATTTGGCGAAGGTATGAGATCGTGGGACTCTTTTCTGTAATAATGCCATCGACACCAAAGTCTGCGCCTATTCTATCACTACTTAAATTCTTAATAATATCACTAATACTGCAGTACCTGGCAATGGGACTTCCTGTTTAGCCAATAAATTTTCTTGTCATCACATTTTGACTAACAGTCTAAACAGTTAAAACGATTTCTTTTGGTCCAATAAATATGTCAGTTAGTCCTGGTTTCGGTCAGGACCTCCTCTGCAAAAAAATCCATTCTTTTTAACAGCCTTAAAATGCAGTTTTTAGGGCTCAGAAACCCGAATTCAATATTCTAGTCACTTAACTACATACTGAGTTGAAACCACACTATCTTAATGTATATTGACCCTCATGGAGAAAAATAACCCAAATTCTGACGGAAAATGGTTATTATACTGGAAGGGCCCTTGCAGTTGGCTGATTTTTTTATAGGGTATACCAAGGACTTGGGTATACAGTTACCACCCATATTATGATAGGACTCACCTTGGGGCTTGTTTCTTCAAAGTAATATTGAAATATCCATATTGAGTGAAATGTGCTAGTTTGTGTTAGTATCATGAAGATGCCTTATTACCGAATTGGATGCCTTTATTGATTAAATCATGCGTAAAGGTTCAGTTTCTTTCCCACAGAGCACCTTCACACATGCGATGCTTGCCCAAGGTAAGGTTGCGACATTTCGTGCAGTGAGCTCCATGGAGTGATTTCCGCTAGACCCTGCAGACCTGACCGGAAATACCCGACAGGCGAGGGCGTAGCTTCGTGGATTTCCGGAGGCGCTCGTGACTGGCTGAAAAAATCCAACATGGCGTCTAGACGTAAGCAGGAGGAGAAAAATCTG